ATTATTAAGCCACCCCATTCACGCCAACCGGGTGGTATGTATGAGCCATTATACTTGTTGAGGTATTTACCGAAGTATCCTAATGTACAGAAAAAAAACTTTTCATTCTAAAATAATACAGGCAGAAGAACAAAATATGCGAAATAATACAGGAATAATGAGAACATGCCGTTTTCACACAAGGAAAGATCGCTTATAAAAAAGAAAACTTTTCTTGTTGAAAAATTTCAAAGAAAATATAAAAATTAATTTGCAACTAGTTGAAGTTTGCACAACTTTACAGAGGAAAATACCATTTTCTTGTAAAGGCGTTCCAAGGGAAACAAAATATTCTCCATGACTTGGTTCCGAAAGTTTCTTTTCTCTAATAAAGACAAAGTAACGAGACATATAACGAGCTGCATCTGAAATGTGTCTGCCCTGAATAAATTTTTATCACGTTCCTCTCTCCTTTTTCTTCGCCATCTCCCTCTAGCCAATTTACAGACTTAAGAGTGCTCTCATTATTCCTCAATTTGTCTCGCTTAACTACTTGGAAAAAGCACGACTTTTGACGCCTTGATATAAAAGTGCCCCTGGCGCCGGTTCAAGAGGCTTGACAAGCAGTGAGGAAAAAAAATTTCATGAAAGAGATGATGAAAAAAAAAAAAAGAGGGAAGCATTGAATACACAGATAAAACTTCTTTATGAACCTGTACGATATCCAGCGTTACTGAGATAAGTTGCAAACGAATGAGGTTCGTGGTCTCGCTGCCATTGTGGACTACTACAGTTGTCATTGTTGGTGAATACCTCGTGATTATGTACGTAACGACCTGTGAGGAGTGAACTTCTGCTTGGGCAGCACATTGGTGTTGTTACGTAGGCGTGACGGAGTTCAGCACCCTCGTCTCGTATTCGGCGCAGGGTATTCGGCATGAAGTTGAGCGAACCTGTTAAAATAGACGTAACTCCATGATCCTCGATCACAAGGGTGGATATTGATAAGTTAGAGTTTTTGGGTAGTGTCCTGGATCAAGGATAGCCAAATCCATAATATTTAATTATCGTTAAATATTGTAGTCCTCAATTAGTTAACATCACTCTTAAATTTTTTGATTACTTACTTTTGTTTACATCAATTCAAATATTCAAATTTTTAACTATTTTAACAATCAATAATTGAGGTAGGAATATGGACGATTACTTGTGTAATCGAAAATTCCCTTTTAAGGAATTTGAATTATCCATTTAGTGGTAAATTTACAGTTTCATATTATCAAATTTTTAATTTATCATTATTCGAAAAAATCAGATTATTAATATTATATTTGTAAAAATTTGATCAGCAAATTTTAAACCTTCATTAATGTGAGGGGCAAATTCTTGTAATATTACAGAAATTTAATATTGATGGCGATCCCTGTTTTGGATAAACAGGAAAATTTCATTTTCAGAATTATCTGAGACGTTTTTTTTGCCACATTATTGAAATATCAATTGTTGGAAATTGTCTTTGCCGATAAGATTTTCTTAAGTCAAGCCCTTTAGTTGTTTTTTTTAATCGTTATTTTACATCGCTTCGACCCGGTTAGAGTATACTGCGATGATCATCATCAAAGACTTTAAATGGTTAAATCGCACCATTCTACCCGGCCGGGATTTGAACTCGGAACCTTTCGCATGTGAGGCAACGAACTTACCCACTGCGCCAAGCCACCGGACAACCCTTTAGCCAATTTTAATATTTTTGGAATATTTTTGGATCTCGGAAGAAAATTGAGGCTTTTTTATGGATCAAAAAACTGCTGACGTGAAATTTGTTCATTTCCTCGTTTAAGGGGATACATGAGAGGAATTTAAGTCTTCACTGGGCCTTGGGACCCATTGAACAGTTTGTGATATATAACAGAATATGGGAATAACTAGGGGAAATTGCAGACCCGATCGATTTTACCCCGTATAACCACGAAAAACTTCATTTTTTCCTGTTTTTACCTTCAAAATGCTCCTTGCGCTGTAGTTTTCATACGATTTTAGCTTTTTTTTTAACGTTCGTTACACTCCAAAGAATAAAGCACCCGGTTTACTTTATTCACAATAGATCCTAAATAAATGAATTTTAAATTTCATAAATTTTTCGCGTCTCTAGAGTAGAGTAAAATTTATGAAATTCAAAATTCATTTATTCATCATCTATTGCCAATAAAATAAAACGGATGCTTAACTTTATTCTTTGGAGTGTAACGAACATTTAAAAAAAAACCTAAAATCGTATGAAAACTACGACACAAGGAGCATTTTGAAGGCACAAAAAGGACAAAATGAAGTTTTTCGTGGTTACACATATTTCGTCATACTATATCACAAACTGTTCAATGGGTCCCAAGGCCCAGTGAAGACTTAAATTTCACCGACGTATCCCCTTAATCATTAATGATCCAATTTCCTATTCGCCAAGAGATTAAAATTTTTATTTTTTATGTGTTAACACTACATCACGAAATTCTTTCTTCTCATTTCAGAATTTAATGGGAACCAATCGTCTCACAAATACACGGAAATTATCTTAAAAAACGATTTGGCCTAAATGAATCATCCAATCTAACTAGTTTTCGAATAAGATGAATTATTGTCGAATGGAAAACAATCCTCTCCATTTGATAATTCCATTATCCCTGGTTTTTTCATTCGAATGCATGCATTTAAGATGATTCAAGTTGGTCAATAACATGGTGAATTAAAAAATTAACATTTCCTAAATTCTGGTTCGACGTCTAAAGGTATTTTTTAATAATGGTAGCTATACCAAGTTCAACATCCTGATCATCGGTGAGAATCAACACAATATTGGGTTTGCGTTCCCGCGCTGTCGGCTGATAGGTCGGCAAATACGGTGAGTTAGCTTGCTGCTGATTATTGTAATTTCCCTTGTAACCACGATGCCGTTGACCAACAAAAACATCATCGTTCGATGAATCGTCGCGTCTACCATATGTGATCACAAAGAGTGAAAGAAGCCAAACTGCTTCGAGCAGCCGCATCTTCGGTTTTCTCTTGCACTCGCCTTCGGGCAGTTGTCTGCTCTAAATTTCTCCGGTTCACATCATCATATCATCACCAATCCTTTAGTCACCATTACTCAATCCTGGGCACAAAAAAAATTCGCAGCCAAGAAATTCCCTTAATTCTCAATTTAACAATAAATTCCCGACATCTGTTCCCTCAAATTCAGTGTAGTAAAAAAATGGAGCAAAACGTTTATAGAAAGAGTTGAATGCAAATGTAAATGCCTAAAAGAAAAGTACCATCTGCAAACTGGTCAATGAAAAATAAACAATGCAAATAAATCCTTGCATAAAAAGCCACTCAAACGTGTGAAGAGAAGTTGCACATACAGCGATACATGTGGCTGAGAAAATAAAAAATTTGAAAAAAATCATTAACTTTAAAAAAGGAAAAAAATAAGAATATAACAGGTAAAGAGACGTCTTACAAGGGAGAACTGATAAAGAGAGATGGACGAACCGGTCGACGCGCCAAGATGAACTAACGTGGAGAATGAAAAGAAGGTAAAAGAGAAGGCCGGCTGCGAAGCGCGCAATGTCTCTCACGGGGCATCACAACCTGCATTCCATGTGCCTTATTCTACCCTAAATATATTTATTTTATTTATTGAAACAAAATGCCGAACAAAAACTCCAATTGTCAAGATCAACGATCGATATACTCTTAACGATTAACGACTAATGTTCAAGGTTTAAGTAATTTTTTTCGTGGCATTTGAGTAACGTCATTATTCCCAAGAGAGTTTCTTTCGAGTGACACGTGATCTATTCAAACCTCTGTGATTATGGCTTTGATATTGCAATAATAATTGCAATAAAAACAGTGCAAGAAGTCTCTTTTAATCATTAACCAAGTAGCGAAAACATTGGCCCTCATTCGAATTTCATTTTCGCTGATTCAATGATAATAGAAACGAAGATAATGAAATCTGATTTATGGGCTGAGATTACGTTGGCACGGTTTATCGTTGCGGGGGGACCAGAGAGCGCACATGAAAAATCGATGAAACGAAACGATGTGTGTCCTGGAAATGCCACGGTAGCCTGGCACCGTACCCGCTTTTATATAAAACGCAGTTGAATGTATGAGATTCATTTTAAGCGAGCGATATACAAAACAGTGCGGATGTTTCATCGGTTATTCAATCGGTTTTTCAGTTGCACTTGTTGTCAACCGCCGATTTCAAATGAAACAAAAAAAAGTGCAAGAATACAAGTACTATTTGTATACATACACATGGAATAAAACGAAATACACAAGCCGATTGTCCGGCCGATATCGATTATATATATACATATATATTTGAATGTAAAATTATTCATTATTGAAATGATGGATACAGAAGATAATTTATTTACTCACTTGTCAATTTTTTCTATCTTTGTGACTGAAAAGGTGATAATATCCTTAGAAAAAATGATTTGTCAATTACACTCAATTCACTCTCACATAAACCAAATCCCTGTAAAAATGCAGATTGGAAAATACCTTACATCTGCATATAAAGAAATAAGTTATTCTCAGTAGTTGGAAAAATCTTTTTATCTGGAGTTTATTGGTATGAAATGAAGTTTTAAATACGTCCCTCTACCAATTGTATTCGATTTAAGGAGACACGTGGATGAGCGTGCCGCACTATATATTCTACTACAATATATATCGACTATATACCTGGAAGAGATCACAGTTGCTAAAGCTAAATGAAAACGCAAATGGACCGCTGCAAAGCGACCTCGCCAGCGGTCGCTACTAAACTGAAGACAGAGTAGAGCGAGAACAGAAAACTGAACACTCAACTTCCAGAGAACTGCGCCGCTTGCGCCTTCCCTTCTGTCTCTCTCGCTCCTCCACCTTTCAAAAGACTCAGCTGGAAACATCTGCCCATTCTAGACGACTTTACAAATAAACGCTTTTTCTCAATTCAATACCTGCAATTATTCCCAGACAGACGATAACAGAGGCAGAGATTTTTATTTCATCATATAAACATTTATCATTCCGTTTAGATTCTGGCGAAAAGGAGTGTCAGTGTCAAAGTTTCGTTGGCATGTATCAATTGTAGTGAATGGAGAGAAGGGAAGTCTTTCATAGCTTCAGATAAGGAATCGATGGTAGTTTTGCCCTGGGGAAAATTCTCCCGTGGGGACAATGGACCCGCAAAGTATAAATGGCCTTATCGTTGCACAGGATAAAACGAATAAAATTTCGAACGAAACTTTTTGGTAGTAAATTAGATTGAATGAGAAATATGAAAACTTACGTAAAATGACAGAATTTTAATAAGTTGAGGGTAATTAAAGAAGAAGGGATAATGCAAGTGTGTCAAACGGCTATAGATATTTCTCTTGACCTCAGCGGACTTACGTATTGTGCAAACTCATAGATTTTTCATGCGAATGAGGAGAAAAAAAGGAGGAATTGCTAGAACAATAGATGAAGAAAGAGGAATTGTAGGAAGAATGGATATGGAAGATTGGAGATTCAATAGCCATTTCGCAAGCTTTATGTATACATTAGTAAAGTTGTAAAATGTAACAGATGAATTTTTTACGATTCTTTAATGGCTGATTAACTTCACGATTATTGAAATTCAACATAGTTTATAATTGAGTTCAAAGAATGATCTCAAAGAATATCAGTGTTAGAGTGATGCCACAATGGATGCAACGCTAAACGTACGCAACACGTGAAATAGTCATTCAACTGTTGAAAATGTCTTGCGCTATATTGATGGATCTTTGATATTTTCATCATTTCTACTGTATCAAATTCAACCAAATTCCTCCACCCCTTATCTGAACCTCGAAAGATTCAGGTGAAAAAAGATCTTCAGGATCCCCCTCGATCTTAGAATAAAGAAAAAATGTATGAATAAAACTTAAATTGACTCAATACTTTCCACGATGAATTTCGAAAATTCTAGTGTCAAAACCATCCCGGATGGTACGATTACACTCACTGAGAGAGACCACGACCACGCGCGCCCTGTCATACTGCCCACACGCTTCACAGATTACCACCAATCAACTCTTTAGATAAAATCCGGAACAATTTTCATATTTAGCATATAACATACAATCTATTTTGCCAGTTATACTATTTACAGTGAGTACAATTAAAATGAGAATGGACATTGCTAAATGTTTTCACTCATAAAACACACATCAGAATGACGTAATTAATAACATGTTAGTCTTTTTGGCACTATTTTCCCACGTCTCTTCGCGCTTTTATCATTTTTTTAAATCTTTTTCGAATGAATCATAATTGTTCTACAATGTCATGATCATTAACGTATGGAATTCTCACGACGTCTCTCTGTGAATGTTTTGTTTTTTTCAATTCTTTTTCAAAGTAGGCTATCGTCTTCTTGAGACCCTCAGTCAGAGAAACTTTTGGTTCCCAATTGAGAAATTTTTTCGCTCGACTTATGTCGGGTCTCCTTCTCTGGGGATCGTCTTCTACTGCTGCTAACTCGACTATTTTACTGGTACCCCCCACTGAATCTTTGATGATGGTTGCGAATTCTGAAATGAGATTTACGTTCATAATTGAACTCAAAGTTTTAATAGGAGAGAGTAGAGTAGAATACACACTTCCAACTTTATCAAAAATATTCCGATTTGAGAATCTATTAAGGAGAGACGACTATGAGTTTTAAAAGTTGTGGGATATTGGAGTGAGATTTCTCATGCATTGAAGATCGATTATAGTCGCCGCCAGGAAAGAAGGAATTTGGATCTGAGTGATGGGGGACGTCAAGTCGTAGCTAAATTCGAGAGTGTGGGGGTACCCAGCCACGATCCTTCTTTTGTGGCGAGAACTATGTAGGGGAGAGTGGGTCAAAATGAAACAGTAAAAAAAACGACTGTTTGACGCAATTGAAGAAAAAAAATTTTTTTTATTAAATATTTTTTTGTCCATTGTTTTTATTCTTGTAATGATGAGAATAATTATTTTCCATTGAGTAGAATGGAACATTATTGAAAAGTTTTGACGGGCGAAGATTTAGTCAATGGATTAATTAAAAAGAGAATAAAATAGCAAAATCCAAAGTCCCGAGCAAGGCCCTGAGGGAGGCCCAGAGGGGAAAAAGGAAAATGCGATGCTGAATTTTTTTTTATCGTTATTTTTACATCGCTTCAACCCGGTTAGGGTATACTGCAATCTTGATCAAGACTTTAAATGGTTAGATCGCACCATTCTACCCGGCCGGGATTTGAACTCGGAACCTTTCGCATGTGAGGCAACGAACTTACCCACTGCCCCAAGCCACCGGGATGATGCTGAATTTCAATTGAATAATCCGTTAACAAAATCTTCGCCCATCAGAAATTCTCCATAATTTTCCATTCTACTGAATGGAAAATTATTATTTTCATTAGTACTCCCCAGAATAAAAAAAAATTGATAAAAAAATTTTTTCGTCATTCCGGCGGTAAGGCAGCGCTTTACGAACGCTACGGCCGGAATGGAAAAAAAAATCATTTGACATACGACCTAAATAGTATGTTTCGTCATTAGGGTGAAAACAAGTATTCTGGCAAATATGAGTTTGCAGCTCGAGCCGAAAACGAGGGTTGCAATCATATGAGCTAGAAAGTTGTTTTCGGCCTAATGACGAAACATACTATTTTTTGTTTGAATTGCGTCAAACACTCGTTTTTTTCAGTTTCATTTTGCCCCACTCTCCCCTATATGTCTAAAAACGAATAATTAGTGCAAAAAAATTGACATGTTGAAAATAGTCCAGGACCTCCAATTTTTGAGCTGCTTTTTTATTTCAAAATTTTTGAAAAAATGCGTACAATAACAATTATGAATTAGTTTTTTGAAATTCGACTCCTACACAGCTAATTTCGTTTTGTTTAATATAAAAATTTGCGCCATTCATGTAAAATAGAAAAAAAATGATTCTTAAAATATTAAAAGAATATTCTCGATTCTTTCAGAAATATTTCTCGCGCTGGTTGCAATTTTTTATTCAAAAAATAACGAAATTAGTTGTGTAGGAGTTTGATTTCAAAAAACTAATTCGTAATTATTATTGCACACATTTTCCGCAAATTTTGAGAAAAAAAAACTCTGTAACTCAAAAATTGGAGTCCCTGGACGATTTTTACCATTTTAAGCTTCTGCAGGGCAAACGAACGAACAAGTAATTTTTTCGCACTAATTATTCATTTTCAGACATATATATATAAGCCATCACCCCCCTAAAGTTAGCGGAACAATGTCAAAAAATGGCATATTTTTTCGGGTCAAAATGATGTGTTTTTTATGCGTAAAATAGTGCGCGAACAGAAAAAAATCGTGCTCGATCCATCTTTAAGTTAGGGGTGAGGGGATGAAAATAGGGGATGATTTAAAAATACGATGTGCCATAAATGTTTTTTGCGTGTAAAGTCGTCCCTAGAAATTGAAATTGAGAAATTAAATTTCAAGGGTGGAGAAAAGAAAACTGATGATAATAGCTGAAAGTGATGAGTCATAATTATGTGCTTTTTTTACGTTCTTCAGGATAGGGGGGGGGGCGGGAGCAGATTGGGCGAGGGCCCCTATAAGGGGGATCGACTCTGGGGTGTAATACCGAGGCGGAATGTGGGATGGACATAACGTCATTGAAAAATCTATCACATGAACGAAATTGACTAGAAAAAATATGTGTTACACAATAGACAGGATAAAGCGGATCGTGCCTGAGTTTTCCTTGTGCAGAGATCAGGCATACCGGTGACCATTGGCACCTCTGCCACGGTCGCTATCTTTTTTTTTGTATGTGTCATCGAGTGCAACAAAATATGTGTTTTCACCTCCAGGCACGAGAAATATTCGTGCTCCACTCTGAGACGGACTGCGACCTGCCTATCGACCTGATATACCTGAAGACCATAATCCGTAGACCGTAGGCGGAAAAAATGACCGAAAATAAACGGTTATTTTGTCGCTTACCACACACGACGCGTGTTACTACACATCGGCTATTTTTTCCTTCGGCTGTTTTTTCGTACATTCGAATCGGAGAGCTGGAGCAGAAAACATTTATTTGGAGAAGAAAATTTCCAAGAAAGTGTCTTAAACATTCCTGGAAATATCTCAAAAGAAAATATAAAAAGAAGAATTTTACTGAGATTCGCAACCATCAGTTGAGTATTCCAGAAGATCTAAATAGAAATTATGGAACTCGTGAGGCCATCAGAAATTCATCATGGAACTTAAACATAACTGGTCAAAATGGAACGATCCCGAGCTCCACCACCTCGCAGAATATTGAAAAATTTGATAAAACTGAAAAGTAGTAGTTAAAGAATAAATTTCAATGGAACAGGGCAGTGAACAGGATGTCTTCCTTCCTCCCCCCCCCCCCTAACCTAGACCTTGCCTTGATGACATCGATGACATCGATCTCCGTGAAACGGGCAAAATAGAAAAGGAGTGTCTGGAGACAACTTTGAACGAGCAGCTAAAGTGCAAAAGTCTGAGGTGATTTCGGAAGATGATTAAACGTCAGTAAAATTCATTCAGTCGAGAGTGTGAATGTTGGTAGAAAAGGCAAACCATAAGAATCTCCATCATGAAAAATTTCGTTCACGTTGACAGAAGTAATTCCTTATTCCAATCAATCCTCAATATGCGTGGGGATGATGAACCCCTCTACGGTAGTGAAGTTCAGTCAATGAATCTCTATCTTTGATGTGAAGTCTACGATCTCTATGATAGAGAAGTTCAGCCGATGAATATCCATCTTTTATGTCATATGTATCTGTCGAGCAGATACCTCAGGGCGTGGTATGGAATCCGGAATTTCAGAAGCGCCAGATGAATTTTCGATTGCTCTTGGAGAGTCGTATCGAAAAACCTGAAAACCCTTCGGGAATCTCCACAATTTTCTCAACAAGTACCCGATGTCCTCTAACGACGATTCAGAGACATTAGCTTCTTGAGCCTACGAAATGGTATTTTACACAACAAGTGAGGTAAGTCGGATTTTACACGCGAGTGCGGCGAAGTAAAATCGCCGTGTAAAACCGACTTACCTCACAAGTTGTGTAATGCATTTTATGTCATCAGTGCGTCTGTGGGGGTGGTGAGTGGGCACGGGTGTTGCGGGGGGGAGTCCAGGGGGCCCGGGTTGGGGGGGGTGAAGCCCNCCAACTTTGAAAGAAAAAAGAAAATGAGTATTTTTTCTAAATATTAGAGAATAATTTTTTTTGCGCGATTGTTCTCCCCCCCCCCCCCACCCTGAAGAAAATATGAGTAATGTTTGTTGATTTTTCATTATTTTTTTATTAGTATGAAGAATTAATAAACATAATCTCAACAATATAAAAAATCAAAAAGTATCTCATCACCACCCCACAACCGTCACAAACTGCAAACTCAACAATGATCAAAATAAAAGAACTAATGAAGACTCATCAACTTCAACAAATTCCAATATCAACAACAAAGAGAACTTGAATGTAATGAACCTCCTCAAAAATCCCCTGTCAAATGTATCTCTTACTTTTAATAATTGTTCAAATATTTCAATCTATCTGACAAAAAAAGATGAGTAATGATAATAATAATAATAATAATAATAATAAT